ACACATACATAAACCGACACCCACATACAAACAAACACACGTACATAAACAAACAAGCCGGCGAAAAGAATCACGTTACCAATAAGCTTCATCAAGCCAAAACAACCAAAATCATGAACCACAACCTCGTACATCCTTACATACGGAACCCCCGTCTTTCCATCTTACTTTTCTTTCCTGTTTCGAATAAGACTTTATCTCTTAAAACATTTACGCTTGAGAATCTTCCTGTATCGAGCCCCCCCCCCCTCCTCTTTTTTTTCCTGATATTATCGAAAGGCCTTAAGACTTTATAAAAAGATTGTGTTGCGTGTTAATGCGGGTGTGTTTATGTCTTTTACGTGTGCGTCTGCGTGTGTGTTTTCTAGGCTCCTTTGTGTGTTTGGTTCTGTTATCTCTCCATGTATATGAGTGTTTTGCATGTGGAGAAAACTCTTTCTCCCTCCTCCCCTCTCTCTCTCTCTCCACTCTCTCTCTCTCTCTCTCTCTCTCTCTCTCTCTCTCTCTCTCTCTCTCTCTCTCTCTCTCTCTCTCGCTCTCTCTCTCTCTCTCTTTCCTTGCCTTCACTCTCTCTTTTTTTCTCCCCCTCTCTTTCTATCTATATCTATCTGTCTCTTCTCTCTCTCTCTCTCTCTCTCTCTCCTCTCTCTCTCTCTCTCTCTCTCTCTCTCTCTCTCTCTCTCTCTCTCCTCTCTCTCTCTCTCTCTCTCTCTCTCTTTCTCTCTCTCTCTCTGCCCTTCTCTCTATCTCCTCTTCTGTCTCTCTCTCTCTCTCACTTCTCCTCTTCTCTCTCTCTATCTAAGCTCTCCTCCTCCCTCTCTCCCTCTCTCTCTCTCTCCTGCTCTCCCTCTCCCTCTCCCTCCTTCTCTCCCTCTCCCTCTCTCCCTCTCCCTTCTCCCTTCCCTTCTCTCCTCCCCTCGCTCTCCCGCTCTTCTCCCTTTCTCCCTTTCTTTCTCTCCCTCTCCCTGCTCTCCCTCTCCACTCCCCCCTCTCCCTCTCCCTCTCCCTCCTGCTCTCCCTCTCCCTCTCCCTCTCCCCCTCTCGCTCTCCCTCTCCTGCTCTCCTTCCTGCTCTCCCTCCCTCTCTCCTGCTCTCCCTCTCCCTCTCCCTCCTGCTCTCCCTCTCCCTCTCCCCTCTCCCCTCTCTCCCTCTTCCCTCTCCCTGCTTCCCTTCTCTCTCTCCCTCTCCCTCACCCTCTCCCTCTCCCTGCTCCCTCTCCCCTCTCCTCTCCCTCACCCTCTCCCTCTCCCTCATCCCGCCCGAGACAAGAAAGTGAGCGATTGAGTCTCACGAGCCCACATGTGTTTGTGTCTCTCTTTCGTGTGTTTTCATTTTCTTTCGTTCTTCGAATATGTTTTCGTACTCTTCCATTGGTCACTTTCTCAGTAGATGCCCTTAATTCCTCATATAAGTTTGTAATAATATCTTTTATAAGAAAGCGTTTTAGTTGTTTTGTTTGTGTTTGAGTAATAGGGTTTGGATAGAAGAATAAGACAATAAGAAATAGCCCGCGAAAGGAGGGAACGCAAACATGGGTTGGCCATTAAAAAACGATCGATACGGAATCATAACAAACCGAGCAAATAAGAAACCCGACGTAACAATATTTTTTCATTCACTAAACATAACCTTCGTTACGTTGCGTTTTCTTCCAATTCGCTACTTCACTACAACTACAAAGCATTAACAACATAAAATACATGAAAAAAACTGACGTACAAATTAAGTTATATCTTCTCAATCACAAATCACAACCTCCTTGATCCACAACAACAACTACACAACATCAATAACTAATATATATATATATATATATATATATATATATATATATATATATATATATATATATGTATGTATGTATATATACAAATATACTCCGAACAACCAAACAAAACCGCATATCCCCCCATTCACAAATCACAACTTCCGTAACGATGCGCCTTCCTCCAATTCCCTAATTCACTACAACATTTCCACACAACATTACAACAACTACAGAAAAACGACCCTTTTCCTCTACTTACCGTGATTACACCTGTACATTTGCTCGACACCAGAGGGCCATGATCGATCTTCTCGCTCCCGCTGTAGGTTCCCCGTCAGGCAATAAATCACGCAGTGTCAATGGCAGGTTCATTTAGCTCTCCGCGGTATCACACGTAGGCACATAAGCGAGAAGCCCTCCTTCTTGATGTCGATCTGGGATGCTGATGGCTCATCGATCTCGTGGTTGTGCGGATAGCATGCTTGATGGACGACACGTGTTGTGCGAATAGCATACTTGATGGACGACACGTATGGGTGTGAGATCTGTCGCTTACGTTGGTAAGAATGTCGGGGTGTACTGTATTATATTTACGTTTGGGGTTATATGTATTGATGGTTCTGTCAGTATTGTGTCACAATGATGTAAAAGAGTTGGAATAAGGTAGATAAGATAAGAGTGTAAGGTTGTATTTCCTACTAGAGGTAGTCACGGTCAAACATGTTTCGAATTCTGTTTTGAACATCCACTTAATACCTCACTTTTTGTATGGGTTAAGACAGATTCGAAGCTTTAACTGGTTGTACTGTAACTTTCAACTAAATATATTTTTGATTATAATTATTTGCATAAAAGGTTTCTATATCAACTGTACAGTAACGGACAAAAGTCTCTTAATGAATTGAAGCTTCGAATCTGTTTTACTCTAAACAAAAAGTATAGTATTAAGCGCATGTTCGAAACGGAATTCGGAACATGTTTGACAAGAGTTCTGGCCGTGACTGTACTGCTATAAAAAGCATTCATAGAAAGTGACGTACTATTGAAAGACTAATATTCCTCTCAAGTACTTTTCTCACGCCCAGTTCTCTGTCATGAAAGACCCAACTTGCATCAATATTTGAGTTCATTTAACTTGGTGCTTGACTTGAGAATGTGTGATTGAATTAAACTGGTAACCATCTTCAACTTTTGACCGTAGACATATACACATTTGGTGAGAAAGCGAAGTTGAAAGCGAAGATAATATCTACGATAAATTGAATCACAAAATACGTTTAACCAGATAAGAGGAAAGATATAATATACAAGACTACAAAGGCTCCTGGAAAGAAAATTAAGGGTTATTTCAGGTATGCAAAGGAATGTAGAATATTCATGAAATTATCAGCTGAGTGAGTCATCCAGTAAGATAAAATGCAAAGAGGAATAATGTTGATGATATATAGGATAAACAATAGCATGATAGTATTGTTAATGATAATGATGATTCTAATAGTGATATTACCATCATTATTGATGCTGTTAATTTATCATTATCATTATTGTTATTGCTGAGATTATTGTTACCATTAACATTATTAAAATCATTATTGTTGTTTTTTTACTACATCATTATCACAATGTAGTAATGTAGTATCATTATCATGATAATGATAAAAATGATGGTGCTGATAATGATGATGATGATGATGGTGATGGTGCTAATGATGAAGATAATGATGGTGATAATGATTTTGAAAACATTGATAATAATTATAGCAATTACAATAATAATCACACCAAAGAATTACATAATACAACAGTAATGAAACACTACAGATCTGGCTTCATTTTTTAACAGAACGGATACCGTGATACACAATCTGACACTCTCTTTGATGAGGTTGCGAAATTTTGCTTTGACTTCCGGGCTGTGGTTTTCCCGGGATATTTCCCCGTCTAAAACATTTCATGATGGAGATGGGACAATTTTTTTTTTTTTTTTCTTTTTTTTTGATGAGGAAGGGTGCTGGTTGTTTTGCACTGTTGGTTGTAGACTGTTTATAGTTATTGTGGTGAGTGATTCTGTTATCTAAGTTGTTAGTAGTAGTCGTAGTTGTAGCTGAAGTAGTAAGATCCTTATCGTTATTGTCCTTTTGTATATTATTGCTGTTATTTATATTGTTGCTGTTAATATTGTTAATGCTGTTATTATTATTACCATTATCCTCAATATCGTTATTGTTATTATTATTATTATCATTATTATCATCATCATTAATATTTTCAATATTATTACTATTGTTACTATCATCATCTTTATTAATATCATTGATATTACTGTTATCACCACTATTACTATTGCTTCTTTACATTTTTTTATTTGGACAAATCTTCAAAGAATAAGATGAGATAAATGAATAGATAGATAAAATAATAAATAAGCAAAAAGAATAAATAAAATCAGATAGATTCCAATAAAAAAAACGGAAAAAACAACATACAAGAAAGCAATATTTCAGGTCCATGAGACATACACATATCTCCATTATGTTGCAACATCAACAACGCAGAAAATCGGATATTCCTCAAAATCGTAAAGGGTTACGTAAATTCCTTGTCGTGTAATTGCTCTCGCTCGCGCTGTCCATCAACACTGATATATGCATGACATGGCAAGAGACGCCTTTGCAAGTTGCAGTCATGCACCGAATCTCATGACAATAATTTACTTTTTTTCTTTCTTTCTTTCTTTCTTTTTTTATATGTCACGAAGTTGTTCTTTTTGTTGTTGTTTTCTTTTCTATTTTATTTTGCGTATCGGAGTGTGGGTATGCTCTCTCTCTCTCTCTCTCTCTCTCTCTCTCTCTCTCTCTCTCTCTCTCTCTCTCTCTCTCTCTCTCTCTCTCTCTCTCTCTCTCTCTCTCTCTCTCTCTCTCTCTCTCTCTCTCTCTCTCTCTCTCTCTCTCTCTTCTCTCTCTCTCTCTCTCCTCTCTCTCTCTCTCTCTCTCTCTCTCTCTCTCTCTCTCTCTCTCTCTCTCTCTCTCTCTCTCTCTCTCTCTATCTATCTATCTATCTATCTATCTATCTATCTATCTATATCTATCTATCTATCTATCTATCTATCTCACTCTCTCTCTCTTTCTCCCTCTCTCTCGCTCGCTCCCTTTCTCCTATTCAATTATTTAAATACAATTAAAAGCGTGCTGAACTATCCAAAAATAATGTGATGAAATATGGAATCATCCAAATGCAAGAACGTCTACTTACAGCGGTGAGATAATGAGGTTGGCAGAACCAATTACCCGCTAATCCCTAATTATTCTTTTGGATGGTCTGAGTTCAAATGCGCAAATGAATTTTCCGAATACATTAGTTAACGCTATTTTGATCTCCGTTTTCTGTTTTTCCCAAAGATTGTGTCCCCTTTGATAATTCCCATTTTCTAATTTCAGTCTTTCCTCGTTTTCAATTTATTGTTTCATATCAGTAATTATATTTTCATTTTCAAGGTGTTTTGGGCCGTTGATATTCAATTCTGTCGTTATTTCATTCATTAGGAATATGTAAATAAGCCTTATGTTCATTTTCAGTTCTCTCGTGTTTTTCTTTTTCTGTTTCTCATAACTTTATTCGATTTTTTCTCTCAATCTTCAACCTATCTCTCTCTCTCTCTCTCTCTCTCTCTCTCTCTCTCTCTCTCTCTCTCTCTCTCTCTCTCTCTCTCTCTCTCTCTCTCTCTCTCTCTCTCTCTCTCTTTCTCTTTCTCTTTCTCCTTTTTCTTTTTTCACATTTTGTTTATCTTTATATATTCTCAGTTTAATTTTTCGGGCTGTTTCGTCGTTTTCATTTCATTAATTAATCAACGCATCTTGATATTATCCGTGATTATTATCTATGAAAATTAAATATTTATTTTTATCTTTCAAATGTACGCATCTCTTCTTCATCCACTTCTTTTTTTTTCTTTTCCATGACTTTCTTCATCACCTTCGTCTTCTTTTTCTTTTTCTCTATTTCCTTCTGCTGTTGTTGCTGCTGCTCATCTTCTCCTTCTTCTTAAGATTCTTCTTATTCTTCTTCGTCTTATCCTCCTCCTCCTCCTCTTTCCTCCTTCCTCTTTCCTCCTTATCCTCCTCCTACACCATCTCTTTTTTTTTTTTTTTTTTTTTTTTTGTCTTATGCAATTCCGAGTTCATTTGTTTTTGTTTTTTACATTTGCTTTCGCAGGTGATCGTGTCCATGACAGCTGACGATCTGAAAGCGTTCCTCTGCTCCACGGACTGGTGGGACCATTCCTTCACTGCCAGTAAGTTCCTTTTCGTTATTTTTCTACTTTTCATTCGTAATTAAGCGTAAAAAATAATAATAGGTGGATAAATAGCTGAATAACTGAATAGATAGAGATACGACATGAAAATGGAATGGAGTTTCGTCATCGGAAAAACCTTATCGTTGCTTGGTAATGTTTGATACGTTATTTTGCGGAAAATTGAAGGATATGATAAATGAATGAATTAATGAATTGATGTAATGTGAGGAAGATTTAATGGAGTTGTGTTCGCGAATATTTTGCATTGTATAAGTACTTATTAACAGGTAAGGATTTGCAGTCAGATCAATCTGTTTATTCTCAACTGTACTTTTTTTTTTGTACCAAGCACACACACACACACACACACACACACACACACACACACACACACACACACACACACACACACACACACACACACACACACACACACACACACACACACACACACACACACATACACACACACGCACATACACGCACACACACACATCCCAAAACCGTGATAAGGGAGGGAAATAATTGCTTAAACAGGCATTACACACAAACACATTTTGCTGTGATTAATCGAATATTTTTTCCCCCTTTCTGCTTTGTGTAATTGCAAATTTGATCGTAAATCATCTGTTTCATAGAGGAGAGATAAGCTTCCGATTATTAATGTCCGGGAATTGTGACAATAATTGTTCTGAATGTGACAATGTATGTTCATGAGCGTGCGGACTGTTTTTTTATGGGTGAGTGAATGTGTTGTGTGTGCGTGTGTGTGTGTGTGTGTGTGTTGTGTGTGTTGTTGTGTGTATGTGTGTTGTGTGTGTTGTGGTTGTGTCTGTTTGTCTGTCTGTCTATTTCTCTGACTATCTATCTAACTATCGATCTACATATCTCCCTATATACCTATCCATCCAACTGTCTATTTGTCTATCTATTTATCTATTTATCAATCCATCCAACTGTCTATTTGCTTGCTTGCCTATAATTTTTTCTTAAAGATCAAGCAACCGCCGCTGATGAATCATTTCACGGGCAAATTCCTCACAACGAAACTCATGAATTTTTGTCAATGTGCAAATACCTTTCGAAGAGGAGGTGCCAATAGGTGCCAGTCCTCGGCGTCCTGTCGGAGTGCCGCAGATGCCAGGCCACTCTACCCTGGTCAGTGAAAGGTAGAGCTGCCTATCTACCTAATAGACGAAGATAGACGATAGTAGGATGTGTATCTACCTAAAAGACAAGGGTAGACTATAGAAGGACTGTCTATCTACCTAATAGACGAAAATAGACGATAGTAGGACTGTCTATCTACCTAATAGACGAGGGTAGACGATAGTAGGGTTGTCTGTCTACCTAAAAGTCATAGACGATAGTAGGACTGTCTATCTACCTAACAGACAAGGGTAGACGATAGTAGGACTGTCTATCTACCTAATAGACGAAAATAGACGATAGTAGGACTGTCTATCTACCTAATAGACGAGGGTAGACGATAGTAGGGCTGTCTGTCTACCTAATAGTCGAAGATAAACGATAATAGGACTGTGTATCTACCTAGTAGACAAGGGTAGACGATAGTAGGACTGTCTATCTACCTGATAGGCAATGGTAGACGATAGTAGGGTTGTCTGTCTACTTAATAGACAAAGATAGACGATAGTAGGACTGTCTATCTACCTAGTAGACAAGGGTAGATGATAGTAGGACTGTTTATCTACCTAATAGACGAAGATAGACGATAGAGGGGCTGTCTATCTACCTAATAGGCAAGGGTTATCGATAGTACTGTAGGACTATCTATCTACCTAATAGACGAGGGTAAACGATAGTAGGACTGTGTATCTACCTAATAGACTTAGGTAGGCGATAGACGGAAAGAGAGGGAAGGGAAAAGAGGATAAAAAACATGATAATATAAGGAGGAGAGGAAGAAGAAAGAGGAGAGGGAGGAGGAGAAAGGAAAGAAGAAGAGGAAGAAGTAGAAGTGAAAGAAGAAGAAAAAGGCAGATAAATGGGAAGGTAGAGGAGGGAAGGAAGAAGAAAAGCAAGAAGGAGAAGAACAATAAGAAAAAGGAAAGAACAAAAAGAATAGAAGAGAAGAAGAAGGGAGATGATTTGGAAGAAGAGAAGGAGAAGGATGTCGAGAGGAAGGAGAAGGGAAAGAAGAAGAAGAAGGAGAAGACGAAAGAGCCATCTCTATACCACGTTGAAGAAGAAGAAGGCATAAAAAAACATACCTATCGTGAAAGAAAGCCCCCCCTCCCCCCTCCCCTCCCGAAAACAAAAACAAAAGCAGGACGACCCACCGGGGACGCCTTACCCCGGGGCCCAAGGAAGTAAGAGGCGGGGTAAGGGGGGAGAGAGGAGGGGGCTAGGGGGGAGGCACTGAAGATCCTCCATCTCCTTGGGACGAAGAGAACCTCTTGAGTCCAACCCGGCCGGTCCCTCAGGAGACGTCACTCAAAGGAGAGGAGGGGTATCCTTTTTTTTTTTTTTTTTTTTTTTTTTTTTTTACTCTTAATGAAATGGAATCTTGCAATTAGTTCAGCATACACCTTTCCGATTCGAATGTGTTGCATGCCATTGAAGAGCTGGCGTTTTTTTTTTATATCAACCGGTTGCCAAGAGGAGAGCAATGGCGATGATTTTATAAGTGACGGGGTGACTATTTTAAAGTATTTTTAAGATTGGCTGATCTCTGAGTTTATGGTCTGAGTCGAAGGCGATTAGTTTTGAAACAATAGAAAAGTAAAAAGAAAAAAATGTGTCCCTTATTAGAATGCGAGAGAGTGTGGAGTGAGAGAGAGAGAGAGAGAGAGAGAAGAGATGAGAGAGAGAGAGAGAGAGAGAGAATTCATATTCAAATTCAGATTCAAAATCCTTTATTATTTTGGCTACTATAGAGAGAATAATAGACAGAGAGAGGGCAGACAGAGACAGACAGACAGGCAGACAGACAGAAACAGGTTAATTACCCATTACGTGATCCACAAATCATTGAATTAAACCGTTAAAAAACACATTAAAGGGGTTTTCCAATTTCACTCTATACGTCACTCTGCAATGCAATGCAATAAATACGACGAACTCAAATTGCTACACAATACGCCAAAAAAAGTAAATCATAACACAACCTCGTTTATCTTTCAAAACCGAAATATTGCAACAAAAACAAATTAATCTCATTTTCCTTAATCAACTTTCCTATTTCATTCTGCTCACAGAAACAGTCCGTCATTTTGTTTGGATTTGTTAATTTATTCATTAATCCAATCGCATTTTCTAAATACCGCTGTAGAGCGCTGAATGGAATTGACTCTCCAGCAGTGAATTACTGCTAAACCGGAGACTGGGTTGACTTAGAGCGAAAGGGAGAAGGAATATGTTACTCTCCTTGGTACCTTGCCGTGACAGAAATATAGGAGGGAGAGAGGAGAAAAGAGAGGGGAAAGGAGAGAGGGTAGGGAGGGAAGGGTGAGTTTTGATGATTTAGTTAATGAGAGAGAGAAAGAGAAAAAGAAAGAAAGAGAGGATGAGGGAAGACGGAAGATAAGTAGAGCCAGAGGAACTGAAAAGATTGGCGGAAAGTATGAACGGACGAATCTCCATTAACATTTACCTAAATTAATAACGTTAATTCAAGATTTATTCCTGCATGTTCGAACTAGTTTATTGCAACATCTTATGATAAATTTCATGATTCTTACGGAGAAAAAAATGACATGGATAATGTCAAATTGTCCGAAATTGTCTCTCTCTCTCTCTTTCTCTTTCTCTCTTTCTCTCTCTCTCTCTCTCTCTCTCTCTCTCTCTCTCTCTCTCCTCTCTCTCTCTCTCTCTCTCTCTCTCTCTCTCTCTCTCTCTCTCTCTCTCTCTCTCATCATCCTTTCTCCCTCCCTCCTTTTCCCTATCTGCCTAACTCCTTATCCCTATCTCCCTACCTCCCTCTATCTCTCTTCCTCTCACCTTCTCTCTCTCTCTTCCCCCATAACCCCCTCCCCCGTATTCCCATACTTCCCCCCCCCCCCTCCGCCATTGCACGCACTCCGGGCCTCAAGCTCTTCCAGACTGATGCGACGTAGCATTTGCATACCACAAAATTTATCGTCCAACAAGTGGGATGTTCCTTACCTGGACGAGAAAATCTGTTTTCCGCCGCTTAGTGGTCTTACAAGGGGAAGCAGGTCCGCTGTTCCTCACTGCTTATTTCTGGGATTTCTATCACGTGAGAGGTACTTAGAGGGAACTTAGTGAAGAGGGAGTTTCAAATGCTTGATTCTTGGCTGCAGAACGGATGGGCTTACGGGCGGCTTGGGCTTGTGGCGGGCCTGTGGGCGGGTAAGGACGGCGACCAAGGGATGAATAGAAGGAGGAAGAGGGGGTAGGAGAGGATCGGGGTCTCGTGGGATGAAGACTGAGGCGCGGGGGACGGCGGCGGCGGCGGGGATGTGGAGCGCCGGAGAAGGGATTTCTGTCGTGAATGAGGTCCTCGCTGTTCCTCCTGGATTTCTCGGGATGTGTGGGGCTCTGTGTGTGTGTTTGCTGTCTGTCTGTCTGTCTGTATGTCTGTTTATCTGTTTCTTGTCCCCCTGTTTATCTCTCTCTGTCTGTTTGTTGTTCTTCTGTCTCTTTGTCTGTTTTTGGTTTGTCTACGTGTCTATATGTCTTTTAACAGTCTCTCTATCTACCTATCTACATAGATATCTCTATCAATCTCTATACATGTCTATTTATCTATCTCTCTTTCTTTATCTATCTATTACTTTCACTTTCTTATACTTTCCGTTACAGATTTTCCAGCAGATCAGATTTTTTTCTCTCTGTTCTTTTTTTTTATCAATTTATTTTTTTCAGAATCGATGGCAAGGTGATTGTTCCCGTTAACAATTTAGTCTGACCTAAAACAACTATTCCGAGACCTCGTTGTGGATTAATTAAAGGCTAATGAGCTTTCAAATTAGACTTTGCAAATAGCTATTGTTACAACAACGAATACTTGT